GGGGGGGGGGTAAATACGGGGGGGATGTCCGGGGGAAATGCCCGGGGGGTACTGTCCTGTTAGCCATGTATATATATATATATATATATATATATATATATATATATCTATATATATATAAAGCAATGTATGTTTGTTTGTTTGTTTGTTTGTTTGTTTGTCCTTTATGCATTACTACACCTCTCATCACATCGCCGTGAAACTTTGGGAAGTTGTTGAGAATATTCCTGGGGAGGTTTCTGCGAAAAAAAAATTTCAAATTCGCAGGGGTGGCGCCCCGGCAGGGCGCGATTTGTTTTTTCTCTATATACGGTATATAAAAATAAAAATCGATTTTGATTTGACATCGTTCATCCGATAGCCATGAGACTTTGGTGAGTTCATTATAACACTCTAGGAAAGGGTTCTGTAAAAAACTTATTTTTTAATTTCGCAAGGGCGGCGCCACGGGAGGGTGCGATTTTCCTCTATATACGGTATATAAAAATAATAAAAGTGAATTGCAGTGATACCGTTCATCCGATAATCATGAAACTGGGAATTCATTATAACACTCTAGGGAAGGGTTCTGTAAAAACAATAATTAATTTAGCAAGGGAGGCGCCATGGGAGGGTGCGATTTTCCACTTTATACGGTATATAAAAATAAAAGTCGATTTTGGTTTGGCATCGTTCATCCGATAGCAATGAGACTTTGGGGAGTTAATTATAACACTCTAGGGAAGGGTTCTGTAAACAAATAATTCTTAATTTCGCAAGGGCGGCGCCACGGGAGGGTGCGATTTTTCTCTATATACGGTATATAAAAATAAAAGTCGATTTTAGTTTGGCGTCGTTCATCCGATAGCCATGAGACTTTGGGGAGTTAATTATAACACTCTAGGTCTAGGGAAGGGTTCTGTAAACAAATAATTCTTAATTTTGCAAGGGCGGCGCCACGGGAGGGTGCGATTTTCCTCTATATACGGTATATAAAAATAATAAAAGTGAATTGCAGTGATACCGTTCATCCGATAATCATGAAACTTTGGGAATTCATTATAACACTCTAGGGAAGGGTTCTGTAAAAACAATAATTAATTTAGCAAGGGAGGCGCCATGGGAGGGTGCGATTTTCCACTTTATACGGTATATAAAAATAAAAGTCGATTTTGGTTTGGCATCGTTCATCCGATAGCAATGAGACTTTGGGGAGTTAATTATAACACTCTAGGGAAGGGTTCTGTAAACAAATAATTCTTAATTTCGCAAGGGCGGCGCCACGGGAGGGTGCGATTTTTCTCTATATACGGTATATAAAAATAAAAGTCGATTTTAGTTTGGCATCGTTCATCCGATAGCCATGAGACTTTGGGGAGTTAATTATAACACTCTAGGTCTAGGGAAGGGTTCTGTAAACAAATAATTCTTAATTTTGCAAGGGCGGCGCCACGGGAGGGTGCGATTTTTCTCTATATACGGTATATAAAATTAGAAGTCGATTTTAGTTTGGCATCGTTCATCCGATAGCTATGAGACTTTGGGGAGTTAATTATAACACTCTAGGGAAGGGTTCTGTAAATAAATAATTTTTTAATTTCGCAAGGGCGGCGCCACAGGAAGGTGCAATTTTCTCTATATATGGTATATAAAAATAAACGTCGATTGCGGTTTCACGGCGTTCATCCGATCGCCATCAAATTTTGGGGAGTTGATTAGAACACTACAGGGAAGGTTTCTGTTAAAAAAACTCCTCTTTTAAATTCGCAAGGGCGGCGCGACGGGAGGGTGCGATTTTTCTCTATATACGGTTTATAAAAATATAAGTCTATTTCGGTTTCACACCGTTCATCCGTGTACCATGAAGCCTTGGGGAGATGATTAGATCACTCAATGGTAGGGTTCTGCAAAAAAAAAATTGTTTAATATTGCAAGGGCGGTTTCCCCCGGGAGGAGCGATTTTTTCTCTATACACAGTACATAAAAAATAAAACTCGGATGCGGTTCATCCGAGTGCAATGAAACTTTAGGGAGTAGATGAGAATACTCCCGAGAATATTTCTGCGAAAAAGAAAACTAAAGTTTCTTAAGGGCGGCTCCATGTAGGGTACAATTTTCGTCAATACACGGTTTGGCACCCAAAGTTTTAGAGCGACTATGTTGGCACTTGGCATCCGTTAATCGAGCGTCCTGCATAGAGAGTAAGGGTACTACTAAATTCAGCGGTAAAACTACAACAGGCTTCTAAAAATAACTTTGTAACGCGAGGAAATCCTGTACAGTTTCGTCACCTTGCGAACGATGAAAAAATAACTTTTTTAATATGAGGAGCCTACTGTAGAGTTTCGTCACTTTGCGAATGATGCAATAAGCATCTATTATTGGACGATTCAGACAGAAATTGAGATCGAGCATCTAACAATAGACCATTAGTAACGCTAGCATATTGCATCAGTCACACTGATGTTTAAAACACGTCAAATAATTTTTTACGTGTTAAAGAAAAAAATCCTGTTCATTTGTGTCACTTTAGCGAATGACGAAATCTGCATCATTGTTTACAGCAGGGGTTCCCAACCCCGTGCCCGCGGGCGCCATGGCGCCCGCCGAACGATTCGTATGTGCCCGCCTCTAACTATTCGACAGAGACAGAATTTTTTCATAAACATAATTGAAAGGTTGAAGGGGATGGAAATCGAAAGTTTGAGGGGGGGGGGGGGGGTGCAAATCGAAAGTTTGAGGGGGGGGGGGGTGGGGTGCAAATCGAAAGTTTTGTCTGGAAGGGTCGCTACGCCTCTGGAAGGAGTTTGTCGATTTAAAATAGGTGGTGCCCGCCACCCTACCGATATTTTAGAAAATGCTCTAGAGTAAAAAAAGGTTGGGAACCCCTGGTTTACAGGATGCTATTGGCACGAGGGGTTATCCTATGAGCACGATGGCGCCTGTTAGGTTTAAGGAGCCAGGGGCCGTACGCTGCGCCTATGCGGTAGTGTAATCGGGAGGGGGGGGGGGTGATGGGGGGGGTCACCGAAGTGTGTTCTACCTCATTATTTCGGTGAGTGATTAATGTACACTCAAGGTTTTCATGCGGTAGTGTAGGAAAACCCGTGTCCCGATAATTATTATCCAAGCGCAAGCATTGTTTACATTTAAATAACACAGTTTTAGAAAAGAAGGACACGCATTTAAGAACATACGATTGGTAATGCATTGGTGATATCCTTCTAATATATATCGTCAGACTTTCTTCTATCCCCGCGGCAACGCGCGGGGGTCGGGTACGCTAGTATATATATATATATATATATATATATATATATATATATATATATATATATATATATATATATATATATATATATATATATATATATATATATATATATATATATATATATATATATATATATATATATACGTAGATATAGGCCTATGTATGTATCACTATGTATACATATGTATGTATGTGTGCGTGTATATAAATATATATATATATCTATATATATATGTATATATATCTATATATATATACATTACATATATATATATATATACATTACATATATATATATATATATATATATATATATATATATATATATATATATATATATATATATATATATATATATATATATATATATATATATATATATGTTTATATATATATATGTATATATATATATGTATATATATATGTATATATATTTATATATATATATATATATATAATATATAATATATATATATATATATATATATATATATATATATATATATATATATATATATATATATATATATATATATGTGTGTGTGGGGGGTGTGTGGTGTGTGTGTTTACGTCTGTATATTCTCAGCAACAATAACCAAACTGGCTTACCATACTTTTTTGTAAAATAGAAAATCACAACAAACACTTACCCTGAAACTCCTTCCTCGCAGCACTGACGTTGGTGACGATATTAGCAATATGTCCAAGCACGGTAGCGAACAATAACAAAGCGAAAAGCAGCTCGAATATCACAAAGAGGTACTCCGTCACCGACTTGGGTGGGGGCGGGGCCCCAATGGTAGTCAGGGAGATCACACTCAAGTACAGCGCGTGCAGGTACTGTATCAGTGTGTTCTTCTCGTCCTTTGGAAAATTATATCTGTTCGTGGGCTTGTTCATTCGGAAGCACACGACGTAGTACAGACACGCGTTCCAATGAAAAAGAGCTAAAAGATAATGAATAAGCGTTGCTGTTCTTATCACATTCGGGTAGTTTGTATGGCGCTCCGTGCGGTCCAAAAACGACCAAAACCGGTAGACTTTGACAAGTCGGAAGCAACGAAGTATAGAACAAAATCCAATGCTGAGGTATAAAAAGTCAATGGGCAGCAAGCATAAACAATCGATATAGAACATAGTCGTATTCATGTAGTGGATGCGGAGTTTCGTAGGGTCCGTTTGGAGGACGCCGTCCTCCAGATATCCGGACCGGAAGTGGAAAGCGATGTCGAGCAGGTAGAGCAGATCCGCCGAGTAGTCCAGCGTGAACCACACGGCCAGGTTGTTGGAGTTGATCTCCTGGAAGGCAAACCTGTAGATGAGTACCCAGAAGTTGTAGAGGAAAGCCACGCTGACCACGCTTGACCACCAGTAGCACAACCGCCCCGACGGGTCAAACACGAACGTCCAGTTGCATCCATCGCGGTCGGAGCTGACCGACGCAGCCGTTTCGATCCGGGCGTCGCCCTTGATGCTCTTGCGGCCGAAGTTCCGGCTGATCTCCTTCCGGCGTTGCCGTCGCTGGTTGCGTGTGGTGTGCGCGATGATGTTGCCATCACTCGGCCGCGGTTTTTTCATAAGCGATGCCTGCGCCAGGGAGAAGCGCTTCCGGTTGACCTTGACCTTATCCAGTCTGCTGCTGAAGAGGTCAAGGAGACTCTGTTTGGAGGTGGACTTGGCCTTCTGCTCCAACACCTTGCTGGAATAGATGGGCGAGGACAGGCTGATCTTGTCGCTGGAGCTTAACCTGTGGGGATAGAAGACAAGGAGCTAAGTTAGCAGGACAAGCTGATCTTATCGCTGGAGCTTAACCTGCGGGGATAGAAGACAAGGAGCTAAGTTAAGACAAGCTGATCTTATCGCTGGAGCTTAACATGTGGCGATAGAAGACAAGGAGCTAAGTTAGCAGGACAAGCTGATCTTATCGCTGGAGCTTAATCTGTGGTGATAGAAGACAAGGAGCTAAGTTAGCAGGACAAGCTGATCTTATCGCTGGAGCTTAATCTGTGGTGATAAAAGACAAGGAGCTAAGTTAAGACAAGCTGAGCTTATCGCTGGAGCTTAATCTGTGGTGATAGAAGACTAAAACAAGGAGCTAAGTTAAGACAAGCTGAGCTAAGTGAGCTTATCGCTGGAGCTTAACCTGTGGCGATAGAAGACAAGGAGCTAAGTTAAGACAATCTGAGCTAATCGCTGGAGCTTAACCTGTGGGGATAGAAGACAAAAACAAGGAGCTAAGTTAATACAAGCTGAGCTAAGTGAGCTTATCGCTGGAGCTTAATCTGTGGTGATAGAAGACAAGGAGCTGTTAGCAGGTTATGCTGAGCTTATCGCTGGAGCTTAACCTGTGGCTATAGAAGACAAAAATAAGGAGCTAAGTTAAGACATGCTGATCTTATCGCTGGAGCTTAGCCTGTGGTGATAGAAGACAATGAGTTAAGTTAAGACAAGCTGAGCTTAACAATGGAGCTTAATCTTTAGCAATAGAAGACAAAAACGAGGAGCTAAGTTAGGACACACGAATCATATCGCTGTAGCATAACCTGGGACAACAAAAGAAGTAAATATGGAGATAGATTGTTGTAGTGTGTAAATAAATGTTACACACATACGCACACCAACACATACACACACAAAGGCCTATTCATACAAAAATCGGCAACGTGGGTATTCTCTGTATAGTGAAAATGTTGCAAAGATTTAAATTGTATTTATATCTCAGTGTTGGGTTTCTGTTTAGTTGGTCTAATTGTATGTTTAGTTTGTCAGAGTTTTGCTGGTCTTGCTGGTCTAGACTTATGTCTGTTTAATCTAATGTTATGTCTACTTGTTTTAAGTTTAATACTATTCTATGTATACATCTTGTAGGTCTCTGTCTAGTTGGTCTAGTTTCAAGACCAGTTGGCCAAAGTGTATGTCTAGTTGAAAGGGTTTAAATCTAACGATCTAGGTCTTTGGTTCATTGGTTTAGGTCTATGTCTAGATTGCTTAGGTCTCGGTCCAATAGTCTAGGTTGATGTTTAGTCTATGTCTTTGTCTAGTCGGTCCAAAAAGTTTCTTTCTAGTAGGTCTAGCAGGGGGGGGGGGGGGCTGTCAATGTCTACCAAGCCAACGTGTTCAAGAACTTCTAAACACCAGCCAGCATACGGAACATAACACGATATCGATTCCTGGATAATCGGTGAAACCCAATGCTAATGCTGACCCTAGTCTTGACCCTCTCAGAGACTGAACCCGACAGCTATTATTGGTTTATCTATTGCGTTAGTAAGTACAAAACCTACATCAGCCTACATTTTACTACGGATAATGTCAAGGTGAAATCTCTCTGTTAATTATCCTGTCTAATGTGTATGGATTACACGAAAGAAGGATAATTGTCAGTCTGGGTGCCGTTTATAGTACCGGCATTGGAGTCTGGACATTACAACCAACGTAAAATTAGCTAAACCTACATTACACTCTAAACATGCACTATATTATAAACCTTTACTACAATATAAACTTATACTACAATCTACACCTACATTACACTCTAAACATGCACTATATTATAAACCTTTACTACAATATAAACTTATACTACAATCCACACCTACATTACACTCTAAACATGCACTATATTATAAACCTTTACTACAATATAAACTTATACTACAATCTACACCTACATTACACTCTAAACATAACTACATTATAAACCTTTACTACAATATAAACATATACTACAATCTAAACCTACATTACACTCTAAACATGCACTAGATTATAAAAGCGTTTACTACAATATAAACTTATACAAAAATCTAAACCTACATTACTCTCTAAACATGCACTACATTATATAAACCTTTACTAAATATAAACTAAAATCTAAACCTATTTCACAATCTCAATCTGCAATACCATCTGAACTTAGACTCTAATCCACGCTCAAGGCTATCTCATATCACACTACAATTTAAATTAAAAACATTTTTAAAAAAAGCAATATGAGAAACCAGCGGGTGGTCGCGCCATTCATCCTAAGTCCGCATAGATCCTCGCATAATCAGCTTGATTTTAATCACAGGGTAAACATGTTGATAATTAGAGGATCTCAGCGGGTGAGCATCTCAAGGCAAGGAGATTACTAAAGAATCAGCTGTGTGTTGAGAAATTGATCTCATTATAGCGTGTTATTGTGCTGAGGGGTGGGGGAGGGAGGTAGTTTGGGGGTGGGTGGAGTAATGGATAAGTATTGTGTAGGGCAACAGAAGATGATATAGCGCGTTATCTTGACGTGGGGTGGGGGTAGGTGTGGTGTTTGAGGGGGGGGGGTGGTGTAAAGGATTAGTATGTTTAGGGCGAGAAAATGGTTATCGTGCTGTGGGGTGGGGGTAGGTATGGTGTTTGGGGGGTGTGTAATGGATTAGTATGTGTTGGGCGAAAAATGGTATTGTGGGGTGTGGGGTGTAGTGGGGTGTTTGGAGGGGGAGGTGTAAAGGATTAGTACAAACTAGATATAGGCCAACATACGTTTTCCCCCCTAGGTCATCAGGTCAAAAACTATAACAAGCCCATTTATTTACTCTAATCTCAATAATTAATTTGATTGCCAGAGTTAACTCTAAAAAGCAGGATGTAAATAAAACAAGAAGCCTAATTAAAAAAAAAACCAATGATTTATTTGTCATACAACATTTGTGAAAATCTACGAACCAAATAACATTTGTTAAAAAAAAAACAACTTTAAACTTTTTTTTTGCGCTAAGCGCCATAGCATCTCAATTGGCCAACTTGACGCTACAATTCATGTAATACACACATTTCCCCCTTAAAAAAACTTTTCCCCAACCGCAAATTAAATTTTTTTCCCCCATAAATTCTTCCAGTCCAATGCTTCATCGGCGAAGTTTAAAAAAAAAAAACACAAACCCAAAACCAGGACGAAAACTGTTGCAAACATTAATTTTTTAATTACGTTAATAGATTGATGAGCTGTGAGATGAGCATTGATCATGTTTAAATATAAAAATTACCCAACAAACTTAATCACGCACACCATAACGAATAAAAATGAAATTAAACTAATTCCAAGCATACAGCTTCCTTCCGTCGATAATATTTTACAGTAGATGTTTTAAGCGTGTTTTGAGTATAAGAGTATAAAACAATCTATAATTATCTCCTTTAAATACTAATTAACCTCTATAATTGCTAATTAACCTTGGTAATTTAAAAGTGAAATTGTACATGCCCTGTTTTAAAGCAAATCAGAACCTGTTTACACGGTGATGTGCAATACAGATGTACCTGGACAAGGTATGGAGTGATAGAAAAACGAACTATCGATTTTTTTAAAACATTCTGACAGGAGATTTGCACGCTGTCAAATATTGATTGTGTTTTGTTTTCTGATATAGGTAACTCCTACACAAATGTACAGACCCCCCCCCCCTTTCCACACATACATGGTGATACCATGATGACTGTTCAAAAATTCGCGTTTCTTTCTCTACAATAAGTCTTTTAGAGAAACTAGCTGGAAATCTTTAACCAGACCCGCCTTGGCCGTTCTGATTTACCTACCTGGACCCACCTCCGCCCCCTTATCCATCTCGACCCCGACCCCATGCCCAACCTACACCACCTCACAACATACATCATTGCCACTCGAAACTCCACATCCAACACACACCCCTGCACATCCTACACCCCACATCCACACCAAACCCCATGAACATCATATACCCCATCTCCACACAAAACCCCAACCCTCCCTCATATTTACACCATACCCCTTTATCCCTCCACCCCACCCCAACATGTAGTTTTAACAAACACCACCATTTAGCCAATATTTCTACTCTAGATCCTTACCCCTAGTTTAACTAAAGTCCCTGCCACCAAAGTTCCACCACATCTCTCCTAAACCCCACCCACACATTTCCTACCACCCCCTCCCCCCTCCAGCAAATGTGTGAAATTTATAAATACAAAAAAACCTTACGAAATGTACACCCCCTCCCCCTCACCCCTCCAGGAAAGTGTGTGAGAATCATGCACATAAAAACATAACGATCTTTCCATCTGTTTTTGAGATGTTTGCGTGTTTATCATTAAAACCAGCCAGCCACTCTTTTTAATTAAATTTAATTAATCATGATAATCGCCTTGCTGATTTTTTTACGCGATACGAAATGATGAATCGATACTGGATGAGCGCAAGAAGTGGAATCGAATATTATCACTAAAATTAGATGCCCTAGATATTTTAAATTTTTTTTAAATGTATACTTTAAAAATGAATAACAATTCACTTACCTGAAATAAATATATAAGTCAATTGAAAACGAGCCAAATATTAAAATAAATAATTTGAACACCGGCCAACGAGAGAGAAAAATAAAAGATAGCATTCGGCTGAAACTACACAAACACGTATTGACCGGGATATGGTACAAATATAAACCAAAATGGTTGCTTCTCAATGGCGGCTGAGATAAAAATAACCTCTTCTTTCATTGCAAAATTTGTAAACAATTTAGTACTTGTATCCATGCGATAAACAAAAATTGAAAAAAAAATTTAAATCTTAAATAGTTTGTTTGAAAACGGGATGGTTGTTTTGAATTCTGAGCTTTGGTATTTGCCCGCAAGCCTAGGCAAGAAATGGAGCCATTATTTTTGTTATTTGAATCAAAAACATAATTAATTAATTAATTAAAATTTTACAAATTTAAAAATTAAAGTATTTTGTTCGTT